CACACACACACACCCCACACACCCCGCCCATGACTCCTGCAGGCTCTCTGCAGAACGAGTGAAACTGAAAGTGAGACTTAAACTGTCTCCTGAGCTGCTAACTACTTCTCACTCAGTGAAGCTCTTCTCAGATTCAGAATGCCTTTGAGGAAATGTATTTTCAGACTCCAAGTAAATGGGCAGGACAGAAATGGAAGGTGGTTCTTAAAGAGACAGAGGCCAATTTCAAGGCGTTTAGAAGAGGAAGTGGTGAGAAGATACGTTTATTTTCTATTTATTCATTAAAACAGCATTTTAATAACAACTAAAGGTGACATAGATACTTTATTATGGCATAGTATTTAAATATATGCCTGAGAAACACATAATATTTCCCCTTGAAATGCTTTTATGTCAAACTAGTTTGACAACAATTATGCGATCTTTAAGTTGGACAGTAAAATGTGGCCACTGTGTAGAAAAACTGGATGGAAAGGGTTGTACACCTGTTTGGTGCAGAAACAGAGATGGAGTCAGTGTGTGTGGGGGGTGGGGGKTTGTTTCTGGTGACATTTGGGGGCAATTTTAAGACAAAAATCCTACCTTTGGGGACAACTGGTGCATTTGGGGACAAAAGTCAAGTCCCCGTTTGGTTTAAATGCCAATGGTGGGTTGGGGGTTGGGTTTAGGACCAAGGTGTATTGAGTTTAGGTTAGTTTTAGGGTCAGGTAGGTACCTGTGAGGCTAGCCTTAGGGTTTGTGGTCAGGGTTAGGCTGCAGAAATGTAACGGAAGTCAATGGAATGTCCCCAATTAGATAGCTGTGCAAACGTGTGGGGGTGGGGTTGGGGGTTGGGGGGTCATCTCATGGGAGCATTGATCCAAGGTCTTTCTCACAGCTTCTCATCAAGCAACAAATGAAAAACATGTGACACTCAGAGTGCAGAGAAGCATCTGCATGCATCCACAATCATCTCCATCGATTCATCCATTCTGTGCAAACTGGAGCATAACAGGGCCGTGCTGCTGCAGGTCCAACAACATTAAATTTACTAATAAGAACAGGCAAAACACACACTGTATGGATGCTGCTCCTTCAATTACACAATCACATCTTTTGATTTTCTTTAACATAAAATTCAAATAGGTAAGTTCTGCATTTGTTTTAGTTGTAGAAGTTGCTTGTTTTGTTTTCCTCTCATATTACATCTGAATAGAATAGAAAAAAATAAACGTTAATCGCACATCACGACCCAAAGCTATACTTCCACTTATAAAGCGGTAGTTTTCTAAGACTGTAATAAGGATTTGCGGGGTGAGAGCCGATTAAAAAAAAGAAAGAGAGGGGGGAAGTAGGTCGACCTATGCTCCATAGGTGCAGTAAACACACCGCTTCAGCTCAGTCCGGTGGGAACAGACACGCCTCAGAACACCACAAGAAAACACGTTCCAGCAGCCCGGAGATCTGAAAAGGAAAGGGGGGGAAATGCGTTGCTGCTGCAGCGGCTCCGAGCAGCCAGCGGCAGGAGAGCCGAGCCAGAAGACATGCTGCTCGGTCTCCACCCCGCCCCTCAGCCCTCCTCCACCCCCACAGGCTCCCTCCGGGCAGAACCCTCACCTGAAGCTGGCCGGGGAGCTGGGTGGCCGGGCGCCGTTCCTCTTCTCTCTGTCCGCCATGCCGCTGCCTTGTCATCCCTCCTCAGCTCCGCTGCTGCGCCGCGCTGCCGCAGGCCGGTGGTCGTTCGGCTCGACACCTGCGAGGTGCGGGCGATGCAGCGATAGGATGGTGCCTTTGGAGACGGTGGGAAAAATGGGCATTTGTTTATTTTTCTTTTATTTATTTATTTTTTGAACTGGCAGTAATTAATATTTCATTGGRAACGCTACAGCTGCATCTACCTGCCTAAATGGCAAAATCTATCGTTTTCATCTGAGCCCCAAAATGTGCTAAAACTGGGATCATCAACTGGTGGGTCATGGGCCACTTACAGTTACATGCCAGTGGCCTTTTTTGGCCAGCAAGCTTGAAACAAAGAAAACAAGTTTTTTTTTTATTTATGTGATGTTTGTAATTCACTCCATCCATCCCTTTCACAAATTCCTTTCTTGAAACAGAGGGGGTCACTGCATCTGTCCAGCTGTGATTCTAAGACTAAAAATCTATGTTAAATTGTAGAAACTTATTGGTATTTCTAGATATTAATTAACAAATTATATAAATTAACAGAAAAAAGACCATATATTTATGTAAAGAATAAATTCCTTCCCTTTCGATAAAATTGAGACACACTATGTTGACCTGTGTCAGTATGTTTTTTAGTTGTAGAAGAAAAAACATTAATAGCACACGTTGAAATAATTAAGCTTAGTTGTGACTGACTTAAACTCATTTATTTCAACTTTAGAAGTTTCAATTAAAGGTAAGCTTTTATTTTTGACTTGCCATATTTTTGCAGAGCCTCTAGTTTCAACGACTCATAATTTGACATACATGTTACCTCACTTTTTTTTCTTTTTTCCTTTCAAGATAAATGTAGTTTTCTGATAGATTTCAGAGGAAGACCATGGATGCCTGTAATTGAGGAGGCTAACACACTAACATACTAGCATGATCGACGCGTTCTGCTTCTTGTTTCAGAAACATAACATGTTTGAAATGGAAACAGATGAGAAAACAGCTTACTGTTTTCTGTTACTGTTGTAAAAATCAATAATATTCATTTTCATTTTTTTCCCTGTCAAAGCTTCAAGAAGCCACTACAAAGGGAACAAAAGATGTTGTCTCCAAGCTGCAGGTTGCAAACCTCTGAACTTGACCAAAGTACAATCAGTCACATTAAAAATGAGTGTATAATTACTGATTTGACACAGAACATTATTCATAGTTTGATGGTCAGATGATAAATAGAGTTGGCAAGGCTAAAGAAAAATGTTGTCTCTGTCTAAATAGATACAGACATATACAAACACACACACACACACACACACACACACACACAC